TTCCCTGGCAGTCCAGTGGTTAAGATTCCGTGCTTCCACTGCCGGGGGCAGGGGTTCGATCCCTGGTCAGGGAACTAAGATCCTGCATGCCACGTGGTGTGGCCTTAAAAAAATGAAACAAAACAAAAAACCAATCAAAAACTACACTGACACAAAAGAACTTGTACAGAATCTCATTACAATAACAGCGTTACTCCTAATAGTCAGAAACTAGAAACAATCCAAAAGTCTCTCAACAGGAGCATGGATAAATGCATTGTAATACACTACTCCTTCACACAGTGGAGTACTGCTCAACAGTGAAAAGAAACTGAAACTGATACAGGCAACTACATGGATTAGTCTCATCAACACTAAACTGAGCAAAAGAAGCCAGATACAAAAGAATACTGTTATGTCATTTATGTGGTGTTCTGGAAGAGGCAAAAGTAATTGATAGGGTAGCAGTTGGCTGGGGAGGGAGGGAAGAAGGTGCAGGGATTCACTGTGCAAGGGCCTGAGGGCACCTTCTGGGTGACAGAAATATTCTGTTTCTTGGATGGGGTGTGTGTTACCTAGTTGCATGCATTTATTAATATACTGAACTGTATACCCATGGTCTATGCAATTCACAGTATGTAAATTCTACTTCATTTAAAAAAAGCACTGAGACACCATTTCTCAATTGTCCAATTGGCAAACACCCAAAGGTTTCACAACATACTCTGTTGGGGAAGCTGTGGGAAAAAAAGGAATACAAAATACTATAACCCTTTGGAAGTATATGAATACACAAATTCATGTACCATTACTCCTAAGAATGTTATCCCAAAAATGTACTGGCAAGAATATAAAAAGACATTTACACAGGCCTATTCATTTTAGTGCTATTTGTAATAACAAACACTGGAAATAACCCAAATGTTCATTAATAGGTTACTGATTGAATAAACTGTAGTACATTTACATGATGAATCCTCTGCAACAGCAAAAAGAAATAAGAATTCTCTATACTACCAGGGTGTGATTACAAAGATATATTATAAGTAAAAAAAAAAAAAAAAAAAAAAAAGCAAGGCAGAGAAAAATGGGTATGGTATCCTACCATTTATCTGAGGAGATGAAATAATATATGTACATATTTGCTTATATTTTAAAAAAACAGAAGGATTAATCACAAAAAAGTTAATTTTTTCCCTCAGGGGAAGGAGGGAATAAGATAGAGGGAACAGAGATATAAGCTAGAGTTGCTTGCATGTACTTGTTTTGTAGATTTAATTTAGAACCATGTAAATTGCTCTTATAGTTATAAAATAAATTGAATTTTTAAAAAATCACTTAACCTTGAAAGTAAAATGAAACAAAATGATTTTGGTTGCAGAAACACACTGAGAGGGACTGTTTTATTCCAAGTGACATTAAAACAGTAATTTGACCATATAACTCTGGTGAGATGTACACTGAGAACAAAAAGAACTCTAAAAAAAAGAAACCTTTAAAACTGTTTTTAATCATATTAGTGGTAATTTTGTATAGATATTCAGTCATCATTGTGGGTGATGTGGGATAAAAGCAAATGAAAAATTATATGGGTATTGTTGAGAAGTAGGATTTTCAGCATGAGTAGAAAGATAAAGATCTAAGGTGGATAAGGTTTTGCAGAAATCCCGTAGTTCTGAATTTGAATAGGAAATACTGTATGAACTTACGTTGTATCTTAGCTCCATCCATTAAAAGGGCTTAAAAAACAATGATCACCCTGGTAGTAATGAATGAACCTAGTGCCCAGATTGAGGTCTCCAAATACCTCAGTTTAAAGGAATTAGGCCTCCACAATGAAATGGCTGATTGTGGTTCCAAAGCAGGCAATGTACAAGATGAGCCTAGAACATCTTGTTATAGCAGAAAGCAAGGAAGCTATCAAAGACTCATGAAGCCATGTCAAAAGAACAAAGAAGCCAACTTAATGTGCTCTCAACTGGCCAAAATGGAACAACGTCTGAGTGTCAGTGAGGATTGAAATACATTATAATGTTTAAATCCAAGAGTTCAAAATAATAATAAAAACAATAAAACAAAACCTTCCACAGCCATCTTTGGTGGATTTTTAATAGTAACTAAAGTAGAGAAAATCAAGTATTTCTCGTGCTTTACTTATACAAATTGTACTTTAGGGCAGGGGTCCCCAACCCTCGGGCCAAGGACTGGTACTGGTCCATGGCTTGTTAGGAACCGGGCCTCACAGCAGGAGGTGAGCAGCGGGTGAGTGAGTGAAGCTTCATCTGTATTTACAGCCGCTCCCCATCACTCCCATTACCGCCTGAGCTCTGCCTCCTGTCAGATCAGTGGTGACATTAGATTCTCATAGGAGTGCGAACCCTACTATGCTCTGCGCACGTGAGGGATCTAAGTTGCATGCTCCTTATGAGAATCCAATGCCTGATAATCTGAGGTGGAGCTGAGATGATGCTAGCGCTGGGGAGCAGCTGCAAATACAGATTATCATTAGCAGAGAGGTTTGACTGCACAGAGACCAAAATAAATCAGTTGCTTGCAGACTCATATCAGAACCCTATCAGTGAGTGACAAGTAGAAAACAAGCTCAGGGCTCCCACTGATTCTGCATTATGGTGAGTTGTATAATTACTTCATTATATATTACAATGTAATAACAGAAATAAAGTACACAATAAATATAATGCACTTGAATCATCCCAAAACTATACCCCCGACCCTGGTCCGTGGGAAAATTGTCTTCCACGAAACTGGTCCCTGGTGCCAAAAAGGTTGGGGACTGCTGCTTTAGGGTAACTAAATAATTGATATGGGGAACTTTATTTTATTTCAGCTATAAAGGAAAAAGGAATGATTGCTTTGCATATTACCTTTTTGCAGCCTTTTAATTAGTGAATCTAGACAAAGATCATGAAGGGTTGTTAATCCCACAAAGAGAAGCAACCAGGCATTATACAGCCCTTGAGAAAAGTACAGGGCACTGCCTGTGAAACAGTCATGGCAGAAAAAAAAAAATTCAAGTCTCAATCTAATCAAGTGTCTAGATCTCACTACTGGTGTATGGAAATACAGGGTACAGAGAAACATTAAATTTCATCATGCAAACACAATCAACAAAATCCAGACAGTGGAATACTGCAGGATTAACAACCCAGTTTATTCCACAACAACCAAAATTATAAGGAATATTTTTAAAAAGAGAAGAGGAGGAACTGGTAGATTAAAAGAAACCTAAAAGGCATATCAATCAGCCTCAGTATATGGACCTATCTGATACTGTGTTTTACACAGCACCTCATACAACAGATGCTTAATAAATATATCGTTGATTATGATACAGATGGGCACACGGTACTTTTTTTCCACTGATTGATGAAGTTGAAATAATGTTGCTTTTTTCTGTGTAATTATAGAAGATTACAAACTCTAGCCTTTGTGATTAGGTACACATTAAAACAAATAAAATTTCTATTAGTTGTTACTGCTTTATTCTAATTTTACTGATGTGGTTGAAAGCTACAGCTTTGATAGATTTTATCTCCATTTAAAGTCTCTGTTTTACGGAGTAATATGCTTTTATTTACCCAAACTTAGCCTGTTATTGATTTCAGATAGCAGAACTTGTTGCCACTGAATTTTTTGACCAAGGAGACAGAGAGAGAAAAGAACTCAACATAGAGCCTGCTGTAAGTATGAGACCTTGCTGGTAGGAATTATTCATATACATTTTTTATTGTAGATTCTTTTTATGCTTCTATGAGATCTTAGGAACAGAATTTCTCGTTATTTTTAAAAACTTTTCTTACTAGAAGATTATACATGTTTGCTACAGAAAACAAGTAAATAACAAGTCATCATATTGTACCTATATTTTGTAATTTACTTTTTGCATTTAAATATCATAAGCCATTTTTCATTCTAACAGATGCTGTCTTATATATCATATATAATGGTTACATGAAATAGATGTAACCATAATTTACTTTTTGGTACAATGTTTGCAGAGTTCACTATTACAAACAGCACTTTGATAAACATCTTTGTTGCTAAACATCTGTGGGCCAATTTTCATTACCTTGTTAGGATAAATTCCAGAATTGCTGTGTTGTAGGGCACACAGATTTTAAAGATTTTTGGATACATACTGCCTTTCTGTATAGTGTAGGGAATCTCGAATACAAGAAGATTCTTCTTAAACCACTGGAGAAGTTTTTCCTGGAAATGAAGCATAGAGTCTTTTTTTCAGTTCAAATGAACATTTACTGAGCCCACATTAAATGGGACATGGTTACGAGATGCCCCTCCTCCGTCTGTGTACCATTCCTTCCACTCTGCTTTTTTTTTTTTTTTGCGGTACACGGGCCTCTCACTGCCGTGGCCTCCCCCGCCGTGGAGCACAGGCTCCGGACGCACAGGCCCAGGGGCCACAGCCCACAGGCCCAGCCGCTCCGTGGCACGTGGGATCCTCCCGGACCGGGGCACGAACCCACGTCCCCTGCATCAGCAGGCGGACCCTCAACCACTGCGCCACCAGGGAAGCCCTCCATTCTGCTTTTTATCCTCCACTGGGTACATCCTATGTCTCATTAGTCTTTTGCAGTTATTCAGTCTCCTATTATGTAGTAGTGGGCTTGTTCAGAAGCTCAGAATCTTCTCAGGAAATGGTGGGTAGCAGAGTGATGGTCGCAGCTAATGGAGAATTTGCTTCATTTTAAACAAGCACTGACACATACTCTTTGCTCCCCATGGAGGTGCTGGGCTTGTCCGCTGCACCAGTCATGAGCTCCTGGGAATAAGCAGCAGTGACATCTGCATAATCTTCACTCAAAAAGCTCTCTGTGTGAATTGAATTGTAATCAACTGTGGCCTCAGTGCCTTTTTCCACAAAGCTGAGAGTGTTTGATTCCACATCAGCAGACAGTTTGAAAGCATGTGTGTTCTCCAAATACATGTCAGCAGTGGACTCTAGGTCAGTGCTTGACTGTAGGTCAGCAGTTGATTCTAGGTCAGTGATCAATTCTGGGGGTCATGTGGGGAAAGTCACAGCCGGGGCGAACACGGGAGAGAGGACCAGGGCCTTCCTGAGTGTGGTAAGAAGGCAGGTAGGCAGGTATATAGCCTTCCTCAGCTAACCCAGTGATTCATCTTTTTAGAGCCAACTTGCATTGTGTTCTTTAAGTAAATGCAGATCTGTGTGTGTCTGTTTCTGTTTTCAGGACCTAATGAACAGGGAGAAGAAAAACAAAATCCCAAGTATGCAAGTTGGATTCATAGATGCCATCTGCTTGCAACTGTATGAGGTATTTATTATGAAAACTAGTAGACTTGCTAAAATTTGACCATGTTATGAATTAAAACCTAAAGTAAATTGAAGCAACTAACACCAGGCGTATATTTTTTGCATCTTAATCAACAAACTAGAAATAAAATTATCAGGATAATTTCTTTTGCTAATGAACATGCTGTTTGTACTGAATAAGGAACACATTTTATATTTACTGTTTCTCAAAAATGTTAATTCATTAATGTATAACTACCTAGCGAGTGCCTACCACATGCTGGGATCCAGCAAATTCGTGTAGGGAACGCTAAGAAAAACCATGTGCGAGCACTACTGCCCTCCAGGAGGTACACTGTGCATACTCTATGTTCTTTTTAAGAGCATATTATTTTTAAGTCTGACTTTTGGCCTAAATAAGGAAAAATAGTTATCTAACTTTTTCTCATTGTCATAGTGTGGCTTAAGAAAATTTTTATGACGATTAAAAGGCAGCGGCTAGAAGAATATTGCAGGTTCCCATTTCCATATACCTGCTGGCTTGGGGTTTTGTTTTGGGTTTTTTTTTTTGCTTATTTATTTATTTTTTGAGTAAAGATATTCTCCCTAAAACATCCAATTTACTAGTTTTGATGTTCATGCCCCAAATATAGAAAGTAGATGCTGTCCTTGTCTTTAGAAGTTTAAACAGGAAACTGTCTTAAGTTTTAAGTATTTGGGAAAAGAACATTTATCATGGTGTAATCATAGACTGTCAAGACCAGAAGAAACCCTAGAAATCTTCTAATCCAGACATTTCACAGATTCCGTCATTGAATCTGTAAAAAGTCCAACTTCCAGGGAGATGAAATGTTTGTCCCAAACAGGTAGTTAATGGGAGAACTGTATTTAGAATCCAGTTTTCAGCCTGAGTCCAGGGTTCTAGCCAGTGGATGAATTTAAGAAAGAAGCTGTGGCTGAGGAGGGAAGGACAGGAGAGACAGCAAAAGAAAACAGGACAGAAGAACACTGGGTGTCAGGCCTCTGCACCACTGTCTCCCCACCTTTCTCGGCAATCTGTGCAGAAGTGTGTTCAGAGCAGTGTCTCCAACATCCCTGAATATCTCATTCTTTCTATAACAGATGCTTTTCTTGTGGATTGATTAATAGTTCCTCAGTTGTAGACACTCATGTCTCTCTTGATTTTTTTTCCCCATGCCTGTAAATATAGTCAAACTAACAGTCAAATCACCCATTATAGATTTCATCTTTCTACATTTCCTATTTGTGCAAGGATTCATTTTATTTGACTCCCCTGTTGAATTCTATTTGATATAGACATGCATTTTTACCATTATTACAGAAGTAATATGTTGTTATAGAAAAATCAGAATACGAAGAAGCAAAAAGATAAAATCACTTAAAATTCTACTACTCTGAGACAACCACTGTTATCTCCTTTCAGTGCATATGCTTTATGACATTTTCACAAATTTTTCATTTAACAAAAATTGCTCTTTGCAATCCGTAATATAAGATACATCTTTCTGTTTCAAATGTGTTTCTATGACATTTTTAATGGCTGCCAAATAGTAACACGATATTCCTAACCCCGTTGTTGGGTATTTAAGTCATTTTCAATGTTTGTCTATTACAAAGAAATCTGCAGTGAACATTCTTGTAGCTAAATATTTATGGCACTGTAGTTGGTAAATAATAATGTTGTTACATTAAACATAATAATGTTGTTACATTAAACATATACACATAGTTACAAATTAACCTTTATTATAATCTTGGATAAAAATCTACTTAAGTACATTGAATAAAGTCATTTTATAGAAAAACAGAAAAACTAAGCAGCTCTCAAGGCAGTCAACACTTAGGGAGAACCATTTGCACTACATAAAAGCAAATGGATTATTTCTCTGCAGAGCCGATTCCACACAGATCTGCCTCCATAGCTCAATAATGTTATTTTGGAATGTGTGTTTGCTCTCTCTCTCTCAGCATGTACTCCCTGTCTATATAGCTTAAGAGGAATCATTCATAAATGATCTGTACTCACACAGTTTGTGAGAATCCCAGCAGTGGGCCTGCTTATGAAGTGAGTGTACAATGTGGCCCTTTGCGTCAGGCCTGGGGAGAGGGCTTATTTCCTAGCTGCCATCTAGTTGTTGGCTTTCTTTTCTTTCTTTAGGCCCTGACCCACGTATCGGAGGACTGTTTCCCTTTGCTGGATGGCTGCAGAAAGAACAGGCAAAAATGGCAGGCTCTTGCAGAACAGCAGGAGAAGACATTGATTAATGGGGAAAGCAGCCAGGCCAAGCGGAACTGAGTGGCCTATTCATGCAGAGTTGAAGTTTACAGATGGCGTATTCTGCAGTATGCCTAGTTTTGCTATACACTGTACAGATTTGGTGTATACTTTGCCACTGCTGTATTTTTATTTTTGCACAACTTTTGACAACACAGCATGAAATGTTTTTAGAGGACTATTGCATATTTTCTGTATATTTGTTTTATGCCACTGAACTGAGATTATCAATGACACCTACTCTTAGCACATGGATAAGAGCTCTGTTTGTGATATTTTGTGTACTGCGAGGTACAAGTTGCATTCTTGCACTGAGGCTGGTTTTTTTGGTTTTTTTTGTTTTTTCTTGCTGGTGATTTTAAATAATTGGTTTTGTGTTTTCTGAATTACCAATCTTTCAAGAATGTTTGGAATCGTTTTTCTTAAAAACAGGCTAGGAGCAAAGTGAATATATTCTGTGACATTTAAAACCTTCATAGAATAGAGAAAAATATTGGCTGAGTGGATTTTAAGAGGAATGGGGTATATTTGTCAACACTGTATTACCTTAACAAAAAACGTTAAAACTCTAAACAAATGGAAAGTACTATAAGGTAGTACTGTAAAGAAAAGGCATTATTTAATTATTTTGCTTTTTTTGTTGTTAGAGAACAGGCAGGAGAGAAATTTCTCATTTCAATGCAATAAATCTATCCAAAGGCTACCCATAAACTCGCTTTGATCTAACCTACCTGATGGAAAGCAGGGGAAACCTTGGGAGAAGATCCAGTCACTGACTTTGAGGGATGAGTGTGATGCAGAAACGGAACAGCCGAGGATGGCTGTCAGTGAAGAGAACGTTCTGCTGGAAGACACTTCTGACAGTCAGTGAGTGTTTTGAATACCGAACTTCCTTTTTTAAATAACTTCCTTATCATTCACCTTATAAGCCATAGCTTGTAAGTCAACACTTTAAAACTCAACAGGAGAGCGAGAAAAAGTGATCATGGGAGCATTAGCCTGAATTGAGAGATGACTGTATAAGATAAGAGGGTACAAACTGAATCATATTTTTTTCTGTTTGTTAAATGGAGTACAGAGAAAAGTACAAAGAGCAAAGGGCTATGCTTGATATTAGGGTCAAAAATTAAATCGAGGGAACAATATGGTAAGAAACCTTAAGCTTGAGTAAACTTAGCAGTATTGAGTTCGTGACTGAGAAACTGCCATATCTTGGTTTACAGGACTAGTCAACCCAGAATCACAGAAGTTTGGGTATGCACCCTAAACACTGGCCCTGAGCTTGTAGTTAGTGGTATCTACTTCTCACAGCTTTTAGTACATTTATAAAATGTTAACATTTTCTTAGAATTTGAGCCCATTTAATTGTATTCCCACCGTACATGTGTGCCCCTAAAGACACTTTTATTACATATTGGAGAAGTAGATAATGAACTGAGAACCTAGTTCAGGAAAAGAAAATCTGCCCTAAATATGCAATAATGTTTGTGGGCAAGAGTAGGAAGAGAGGTATTTGTTTGATCTGTTCACCCCCCTCCCCACCCCTGAACAAAGTTTCTGAGTTTCTATAACTAGTTTGTATAGAAAAGCTCTTGGGGATATGATAATGCAGCATTCTCAAAGACTTTTCATTAAAACATGTTTTCCATTCATAACCATTTGTTCCCTAAACTACCTAAAATTCAACATATTCGTTAAGTTTTTAAAATTCTGAGTGTGTATACGTATCTTGACATAAAGTGGCTTTATTCTTACCCTTCAGGTTTTAAAAAGAAAGCAAAACAAATTGTATTGCCATTACTTTGTAGCGGTAAGGGCTATGTATTACTGTTGTGACACCTGTTATTTTCAAGATGTTATTCTGTTTTATGTAATATATATGAGGTGTGTGAGGTTGCCTCTTGGTGGCACTGGTGTGTAACTTACAAAGACTGTCACTAAAATAATGTATCTACATACTGGTATACACCTATGCATGCTGACACAATTCCTTAGTACAGAAAAACTGTCTGAAGAATAGCAGTCTTTAATAACCTATCTTTTTGCCGTACACATTGTGATTTAGCAGTTATGCTAAAATCAGTAGTCAAATACTTTAGTAGTTTGTTTAGAGCCCTCTAATATATGTCACTGAGATTTTTAAAGACACAGTAGACTATGTGCGGAGGATTTGTATGTGTGTCATTTTAAAAAGCAAGAAAGTGTATTTAGATTATAAATTTTTGGTTTACTTTTAGATAATGGCTTATTTTACCTTACTAGTTTAGAAACTGAAAGAAGTGGGGCAGTGACATACCTATTTCATTTTTGGGTATTTTAGTTCATACGGAAGAAGAATACTTCTTTAGGACTGGTTACTTGGTTCAAATAATTCTTAATTTTTTAGGAAAATCACTCCATACATGGATTATTACCTGGTACATGGGCACAAATTTTCTTATGTGGATATTTCCTTTCCAGTATCTTCTCAAGTTGGAAAAAATATATATATGTAGTCTTCTCTCACCCTACCCTATATTTATATTACCTGTAACCTAGCAAGAAGTTGTTTTTGCTCTAGATTAGTTTGTTTTCATTATAGCTGAGTACCATGATACCATTTCATTTCAATTTTCAGCCCCAAAAGTTCCCACTATTTTACTAAGTTGTGAGAAGATGTCTGTAAAATTGCCTGGTCTTGTACTTTTCACAGGATTGGCCTTTGCCAGCCACAATCCTGTGTGAACTTGTGTAAGTCTCTTTAACCTCTGTGAGTGTGAACAAGTTGTGCTGTTGAAGGAGTTATGTTTGGGCTAAGCCTTGTCTCAGAGGAGGATGTCACAGAAGGCAGCTACTGTGTAAGCCCTAATGGGCCCTGGAGACCACTGTCAGAAATGGGATAGCAGGCCAAAGAGCAAGGTATCTAATCCCTTAAGTCATTTCCTGTGTTAAGTTTCCAAGACTGAGAAAAAGATAGTACATTTCTTTGGCTTCTCATGCAGATCACTAGATGTGTGAGATTTAGAGCTGTTTGAGCACCTCATCTCACGGTACAAACCCTGGACGATGATGTTTCACCACTGATCTCTTTACTATGAAGAATGGTTTCCTTCCATAGGAGTGTTGGAGAAAAGAAAGTGTATGAAAGTGTACTGGAAATAATGGATTGCGGGAGGAAACCGGTTACAGATATATTCTTGCCTAGCAGTGAAGTGCCTTTATTTTCAGCACAGAGCACAAATGTTAGACCTACTCCAATCTGATGTTCAATTTTCCTGTGTTTCCACCTGATTGTACTCCTAAAGCTTTACAGGCCATCAAAAGAAATGCTGCTTGTTTTGTTTTACAAGATTGATTTAAGAAGGCGGGGTGGGGGGAGGGATGTAACTGCTCTCCTCTCCTGGGAACAACTACAGTTAAAACAAGGTGGTATAATGTAACTGCTCAGTGTTAGACATGCCTCGATCCACCTTTTATTGAGTTCCTGCTGCATGTCAGGCACTGTGCTCCACTGGGGAGAGAGAGCAGTGACCTCAAGGAGCTCACAGTCTCTGCAGGGAGTGCTGGATAAGAGACCTACCAGCTTCTGATCCTGCCGATTTAACATGAAAATATAGGGTACAGTTATCACTTTCATTTCCATCTATAACATATGTATTACGTAGTTTTCCAAGGACCTTCTTTACCTGGAACTTATTAAGAATCTGTCAGTCAGTGAACATCTTGTCTTCTTGCAAGCATGAATCACTTAGCCTGCTGATAGCTTACAGAACACCTTATGTAAGTAAGGAGTCATATATTCCACTATGTAGATTATTTTTCCATATGCTAGCCAGGTAGAGATTACTCAAGAGTTCTCTTAGACTGTTAAATTGCACACAGTTTTGGACCCCTTCTGCTCCAGCGTAGGGAGTGAGGAAGAAAGTATTAAAGCTCACTTTGCCCTTCTCAAAAGTCTGTGTAAACATATCTTAATAGATGTTGAACACCATGTAAATAGTTGAAAATATAAATTTCTATTTCAGTTTAAGAAAAAGCTTATGAATCATCACTAGCCACTGTTAATATCTATTTGTATTCTTACACCTTTTCAATACATTTGAACAAATATATAGTTTCTGGCACTATTTTTGTACTAGGATAAAGGAGTTACTATGTATATTATGTTTAGCTTTTAAGTCATTTTAAATAATTGTGAATGTTGATTTCTTGTCTTTCCTCTCCCCCCACCATGAGAACCATTTCATGTCACTCTCCTATGACAAAGTCACTTTAAAGGAACACTTACCCACCTACGATCCCTGTAAAGTCAAGAGACGGTCAGGGTGGTTCTCCACTGCGCAAACTCTTCGCTTGTCAGTTGCCTCCTCATTTTGCCATGCTTTGTAAGAATAAAAAGAAGAGTGAACAAGCAGATATAAGTGTTGTGTGATTATTAGGGACTCTGAATTTTAGGCAGGGAGAATGGGCCCATAGTTTGAGAGACTTTAATCAAGCTAACCTGTGGTCCTGTTAGCTGAAAAAGATGTGGTTTAATAAACTCCTTTCTTTCCTCAGCCTAGACACCTCAGTAATAGTCTTCTTGTTAATATTCTTTGCTACCAGTTTGAGGGCAACATTTTCCATACACCTCACCACTTCTCAAGTCCCTAACAATTCTATAGAGGGTGATGATTGTTACCATCCTCAGGTTGCATGCGGAGCTAAGGCTTAGGAATTAAATACTTGCCAAATGGCATGAGCTGGATTCGATCCCAGATCTGTCTAGTTTGAAAGCAGGTATTTATTCCACTTAATTCTCTTTTTGAATTTTAATAGTAAAAGGTCCCAAATCCACTCTTAGTGGATCAAATGGGCTACCTAGAAGCATTAGATACAAGATTTCCCACACCCAGCAGATCTGGTTTTGTTTGGGATTTTAGAGTTAACGTTCCTTTAGTTCATCTAGTAATAGCTAATGCCGTGCCATCACAGGATCCCAGGTACCACCGTGCTTCAGTGCTGCTAGTCTAGAGGCATGGAGGTATAATTAAATGCAAGATTTCTGACTCGTTATTTACTTTTGCCACTAGACAAGCCCTCTTCACGTGGAGCAGAATATCTAGGCTATGCCTAATTCACAAAGCTAAAGGCAAAAGTAAAATGAAAGCTCATGTAAAACAATATTTTAGACCTTCTGATCACTAGAGTGCGCCAGTTTCAGCTGTATTTAAAGAAGTAATCTTACTGGGTACAAACAATGAATAAAACTGCTTTTTTAAAGATTTTTACCAGCTAAAGAAAAACAAATGGAAAAAATCAATGGGGAATTAAGATTTGCTTACTTTCCTTTGTTCAGGATCATTTCTTTAAGATTTTCCCCAAACAATAACTGATCACCTGAAGTCTCTCTGATTGATACTCAATATTCCATCCACAGAGACATCATCCCTTCTTGTAGAAAAGGGAGGCATTTGACAACTCTCTTGAACCCACATTCTTGCTATCCGCTGTGCTGCCTTCTCAGCAAACAGGGATATATTTGATATATGCAAATGTCAGTATATAATTTTCTGTTTTTTTAAGGCATATAATAAATTAACAGAAACACTTTGAACGTGCAGAGAATATTCCTTGATTTTAAGCTATATTCAGCCTTTGCAGGAGAAAGACTCTATGTTTCTAATTTACAACCCATTTTTTTCAAAATAAACATCCACAAGAATTATGAATGGAATCAAAATAATTATTTGAATCAAAAGAAATCTAATTAAATGGCGTGTTTGCCTCATTTTAAGTGTACGTATGAGCGTGCATGTGTGTGTATGTGTGTGGTGTGTAAATATTCAGGAACTGAGTTGACTCAGTCATCTGACAGAATCCCAATGGCACATTCTAGGATTCATCTTTCTAAGTGAATTTAAGGGACAAGACTGCATGGCTAAGGGGGAGAAAAAAGGAATGAACATGAACTATCACAATAGCTTTAAACGTTAATATCCCCTATATTACTTTTAGAGCCATATTTCACTTCATATCACTGTTTCCCCTACCCAACAGGAGTGTTTTTTAGGCTTTATATGACGCCAATCCAGCATATATTCCTCTAAGACACTAGCTTCCCCCTTTACCAACCAGCTCTCTGAAAATCACGAATTCCCTGATCTCGCTGATGTACCCTGACCAAGGAGAAAAAGTATAAAACATGCTCAACAACTACCTCGGCTACAGCTGCTCTCTCTCCAGAAAAGCCAACAGAAGTAGTTACTAAGGGTGCTCTACCAAGTCTGTTAGAATGAGTAATGCACTTGGAGGAGTGTATGAAGGCAGGACCATGTCCTATCATTATTTCCTCTGTTTCTTAAACCTCTGCTTCTCTTTTTCTGTTCTGGCTCCATTCATAAGGGCTTCAAACATACTTGATTCTCCCCTGCTCTAAGAACACCTACCTGAATCACACAGCCCTCCCACCAGCATCTCTGTACTCTGTCTTGTACTTTGAAGGTACTCAACAAACACTGAGTGAAAGACTAGACTTCTCTCCTTTCCCATTTGACATAAAATTGAATTTTTTATAAAGAAAGGAGAAGGTAATTCCAATGAAGGACAACAGAAAACTCAATACAGCACTTTTAGAAATTCTCAGTTGGAAAAGAGCTGAATTTTAAGATGAAAAAAAAAACTGAATAAAACAATTTGGGGTAAGAATATTTGTTTTCTATTGTGAAAAATTAGTTACCAGGCTTTAATTCATAAATTGATAACCACTGGTGGAGTTACTCCCAAGGAGTTTTACCATATTGCTAGGAGCCAAGGAAAATTCACAAAGGCTAGAGGCCAATGATCTTGTGGAGAAGACAAGATTTACATTTAAAAATAAAAATAAGCAAACAGAAGACATTCATTCATTCATAAATACTTGATTCTCTCCTGAGTGTCAGGCTGGGGTAAACTAATAGGCATGGTCTCACAAAGCATCTAGTCCAGAGGAGGCTACACACCAGGGCAAAGAGACAGCCATGTCTATGCACTGAGGATGGGAGTGGAGGGTTTACAGATGGTTCTTTAAGTGTGTGACAACTGGTTTATAGCTAAGTGAAAAGGAAGAAGAGTATTCCTAGGCAGAAGAAAACATGTGAAGACCTAGAAGTAGCAAACTTGAGAACTTGAAAGCCTTCTCACAATTTATTTAAATAATTATAAATTTTATATTTTTAAATGATAAGGGTTAAAAATATATTTACAAATATTATGAATACTTATGAATGTTATATAAAATAAAGCAAATGTCATTTTTTTTTAAATTGAAGGTAGTTGATTTACAATATTATGTTAGTTTCAGGTGTACAACATGATGATTCAGTATTTTTATATATTATACTCCAGCTAATGTCCTTTAAATGTATATTTGAGCTTTTAAGAAAATAAGAGAAATCCCCACAGGCCAAAATAAAGCAAATTAAAAATCCAATCAGCAAGCATGTGAGCTGATACTATGTCAGGCCTGGGAATATTTGCAGATCTATATAATGAAGGGGTTTTAAATCAGACCAGGAAACATGGTCTTGAGATCCAGTGAAGCACTTGGGGAATGGCCCTCCAAGAAAGACTGAAAACTCTGAAAGCTGTGCTCTCAACATGTAGAAAGGGGAGGGGGTAAAATTCACTCAGAGACACAGGACAACTGAAGGACACATGCCTGTCTTAATCTGAGCTCTGGTTTAAAAAAAAAAATTGTAACATTGAGTCCATCCTCACATTAACACAGATTTGGGGTTTGAATGTGATGCAGGACTACCCAAGTTATTGATAAATAGCAGAAAAAGAAGTCTCAGGCAGGTAATATCCCTGAACAACTGGCAAAAGCAAAGGCAAAATGTCTTTGGAAGAACACAGCCTCAAATAGGCCCATGAAATTTCCACAGAAATAATGCCACTAAAGAAAAATTCGTAATTGCAAAATACATGAGGAAACAATTCACAGTGTACAAAGTCAGAAGCCACAAGACTGTACGATCATATACCCAAGAAATTCAGGCAACAGAACTCTTTGATAGAGGTGGTGGGGAGGAATCATTGACTCCTCACTCTTGTGTTTCCAAAGGAAGGGAGACCCCTAAAATGGCACTCTTGGTCTCCTGTTCCACCCTTAATCCAGTCAGATATGTGACTGGAGGGTGACAGCCATCAGTCCACAGTCCTAAAACGGGTGTGATTAATCTAATAAAAACAGTAAACACTGGGCATTTGTTTCTTTCTACCCTGATCCAGTGCAAGTTGAAAATCCTAGGTAAGTGTGTTCAGTATGTGCGCTGTCCTAAGGTATAGCCTACAGAGGGGTGGGGGTCAAGGCAGGGAGTGTCAGTAAACCCATCTGACCACAGCATGCTCTCCAAAGGAACTTATTTACAGGACCACCTCCACAAAGCTCCATACGAGCCACTGTCGCCATGATGTTCTTGGAGAGCTATGCCTACCTCCTGTTAGGGTTTAGAGACTTGCTCATACCAATGGGTCTTTTCAATCAATGTCCTCTCCTGTGTCTGATGAATGTGGTAAATCAGCGCTTTCCTGGGTCTGCTTGTAAGCTGTGCCCTTTGAGAGCACAGAGAATGTGCAAATAAGAACATCTTCCTCCTCTCTCCTTCCTGCTGGTGGCTGTATAGAAGGCAGGAGTGAAGTCAACACTGAAAGAGATCCCATTTTAGGAATGCAGTGAATTCACTAAAGAATTCGAGAGAAGCATAGTTGGAAGATATGTTGTTCTATTTTATATTAGAAAATTCTGAAAAGTAAATTTCACACGACCAGAACTTATCATTCACATTTTTTTCCCGCCTATCCTGTTTAAGACTTGCATCTGTGATAATCAGCACTGAAGCACACGAACAAACTTTGAGTCATTGGAAGCGAGTATTCACAGGCAGCACAATGAATGAGGCAGCGTCATGAGTAATCATATAACCAATAAAAATAAATGGTATTAGGGAACTGCAGAGGCAAGAAGATCTACACTATTTTTGTACAAACTGGTTTTAAAGACCACAGCATTGTGAGTATAACAGTCACTATTTTCTTCTGTCAGTGAGAGTTTTGAAGCTAGAGACAAAGAACACATTTGACAGTAAAGAATACAAGCAGGTGGTTCCTGAAATTGAACACTATCAACATGAATTGATTTTTACATGGTAATGAAATATGTACATATCTCTTCTGTATTCAGTTTCTTAAATTTTCATTGAAAAAAACATGATATTAGTTTCCTACTGCTGGTGTAGCAAATTACCACAAATGTACTGACTTAACACAAATTTATTATCTTATAATTCAGGCGATCAAAAGTCTAAAATGTGCTAGCAAGGCTACATTCCATCTAGAGGCCATTTCCTTGCCTTTTTGAGCTTTCAGAGGCTGCCTGCACTGCTTAGTTGATGACCTCTTCCTCCATCTTCAAAGCCAACAGCATAACATCTTCAAAGCACTCTCCTCTCTCACAGTCACACATACACACACTCCCCCTGACCCCCGCTTCCATCCTCACATTGTCTTCTCTAACACTCCTGTCTCCCTCTTATAAGGATCCTTATGATTACATGTGGCCCACACAGATAATCCAGGATGAGCTTCCTATTTGAAAATGCTTAACAATCATATCTGCAAAGCTCCATTAGCCATGCAAAGTGGCATAGTCACAGGTTCCAGGGGTTAGGATGTGAACATCTTTGGGGGCCATTATTCTGTCTAACACAGTCACTCTCACATGGACTCACGAATTATGTAATACATTTTTGGTGTGTTCTTTTAATAGACCATTTTTCAGAGCAGTTTTGGGTTGGAAGAGGATTGGCCAAGATAGCAGAGTAGAAAGACCCTGAGATCACCTCTCATGAGCACACAAAAACCACAACTAATTGCAGAACAATCACTGATGGAAAAGACTGCACCTACCAAAAAAGATCTTCTACAGCTAAAGACATAAAGCAGGAACCACAGTGAGACAGGTAGGAGGGGTGGACTCATGATATAACCAAGTCCCATAGCCCTAGGTGGGCAACCCACAAACTGGAGAATAATTATACAGCAGAGGTTGTCCCACAGGAGTGAGAGTTCTGTTGGGCTCACCAGCCCAGGGATCCTGCACTGGAAAAATGAGCCCCCAGAGGATTTGGTGTTGAAGGTCAGTGGGGCTTAATTTCAGGAGCCCCACAGGACTGGGGGAAATAGAGACTTCATTCTTAAAAGGTACACATAAACTCTCACACCAGGACCCAGGGTAAAAGCAGTAATTTGATAGGATCCAGGGCCAGACCTACCTGCTGGTCTTGGAGAGTCTCCCGGATAGGCAGGGGTGGCTGAGGCTCACCCTGGGGACACAGACATTGGCGGCAGCCACACTGGGGAGCTCCTTCTACCACACGGACCTGCCTGCTGGTGGCCGCCATTTTGGGATCCTCCCTCTAGCTCATTAGTGCCAAAACCTGGCCTTACCCAACAGCCTTTAGGGCACCAGTGCTTGGACACCTCAGGGCAAACAACTAACAGGGCAGGAACACAGCCCCACCCATCAGCAGACAGGCTTCCTAAAGACTTCCTGAGCCCATAGCCATCTCTTGACACTCCCCTACACATGGCCCTGCCCATCAGAGGGCCAAGACCCAGCTCTATCCACCAGTGGGCAGGTACTGACCGTGCCCTCCAGGAAGCCTGTATTAGCCTCTAGACCAGCCTCAACCATGAGGGGGAAGACATGAGACACAAGAAAACCACACTCACACAACCTGTGGACACAGCCTACCCACAGCAGGCCAGACCCCACCCTGGGACAAGCCAGGCCCTGGCTGTGCCCACTAGCAGGCCAGCACAAGCTTCCCCAGACCCCATACCCAACTGTGTCAGGAACTGGTGCCCCCCACCCCCCACCCCCGCCTCTGCCCCAGTGACCTGACACCAGCTCCAGGATTTCTGGGCCCTGCAGCAACTTCAGGACCTGGCTCTGCCTGCCAGTAATCTGGCACTAACCCCAGGACCTGGCTTTATCCACCAATGAGTTGGCACCAGCCCTGGAGTCTTCTGGACCCAGACTCCACCCACCAGTGAGCCAGGACTAGCCCCAGGGCCTCCTAGGGTTCTGCAGCCAGCCGCCTCATGACCAGGCCACACTAACTAGCAGCCAGCAACATCCACATGAGGCAGGGCCTGGCAACCAACCAGGCTGGGGGTCACCCAAACCTGTAAGACCACCCACATAGTCAGCCCATCAAAACAGAAGGACCCACACAGCCCTCTTAGGGGGAACCCCTAGAGCATATAGCTTGAGTGACAAGAGGGGAGTGTGCTGTTGTGAGGCATAGGGCATCTCCTACAGAAGGCCACTTCTCCAAGGTTGAGAAACATAACTAACCTACCACATACATAAAAATATAAATAGCAACTTAAAGAAAATGAGGCAGCAGAGGACTATGTTCCAGATGAACGAACAAGATAAAACCCCAGAAGAAGAACTAAGTGAAGTGGAGACAGACAACCTACCCAAGAAAGAGTTCAGATGTAAAGATGATCAAAGAACTCGGGAGAAGAATGGATGCACAGAGCAAGAAGTTAGAAATTTTTAACAAAGAGTTAGAAAATATAAAGAACAACCAAACAGAGGTGAAGAATACAATAATAGAAATGAAAAATACACTAGAAGGAATCAACAGTAGACTAAATGATACAGAGGAACACATCAGCAAGTTGGAAGACAGAGTAGAGGAAATCACTGCCACTGAACAGAAAAAAGAAAAAAGAATGAAGAGAAATGAGGACAGTTTAAGAGACCTCTGGGACAACATCAAGCCCACTGATGTCTGTATTATAGGACTCCAAGGAGAAGAGAAAGAGAAAGGTGCTGAGAATATAGAAGACATAATAGCTGAAAACTTCCCTAATCTGGGAATGGAAACAGTTGCCCAAAACCAGAAAGCGCAGAGAGTCCCATATAGGATTAACATGAAGAGGAATAGAGCAACACACAACATAATTAAAATGACAAAATTTAAAGATAAGGAGAGAATATTAAAAGCAGCAAGGGACAAAAAAAACCAACAAATAACATAAAGGGAACTCCCATAAGGCTATCAGCTGATTTTTCAGCAGAAACTCTGCAGACCAGAAGGGAGTGGCATGATATATTTAAAGTGATGACAGGGGAAAACCTACAACCAAGAATACTCTACCCAGCAAGGTTCTCCTTCAAATTTGAGGAAGAAATCAAAAGCTTTACAGACAAGCAAAAGCTAAAAGAGTTCAGAACTACCAAACCAGCTCTACAACCAATTAAAGGAAATTTTATAGGTGAAAAAGAAAAGGCCACAACTAGAAACAAGAAAATTACAAAATGAGAAAGCTCACTGGTAAAGGCAAACACACAGTAAAGCTAGGAAATCATCTACACACAAAGCTAGTAGGGAGGTTAAGACAAAAGTAGTAAAATCATCTATATCCACAATAAGCAATTAAGGGATATACAGAACAATGAGATGTAAAATATGATATCAAAAACAGTAATCATGAAGGGAGGAGAATACAAATGCAGGGTTTTAAAATGCATTTGATGTTAAAAAAAAAAAACTGAAACCTGGGGATATATGTATACATATAGCTGATTCACTTTGTTATACAGCAGAAACTAACACAACACAGTAAAGCAATTATACTCCAATAAAGATGTAAAAATGAAGAAAAAAGAACACATGCTATATATATACATATATATATATATATATATATATAGAGAGAGAGAGAGAGAGAGAGAGAGAGAGAGAGAGAGAAGGAGAGAGAGAGGGAGATTACTATACAAAAACCTCACAGTAAACACAAACCAAACATCTATAATTATATATGCACACAAAAAAGAAAAAGGAATCCAAAATAACACTGAAGATAGTTATCAAATCCCAAGAGAAGAGGAAAATAAGGGGAAAAAAAGACCTACAAAAACAAATCTAAAACAATTGATAAAAAGGCAATAATGACTACATATAGATAATTACCTTAAATGTAAATGAACTGAATACTCCAACCAAAAGACACAGAGTGGCTGAATGGATACAAAAGCAAGACCCATATACATGTTGCCTACAAGAGACTCACTTCAGATCTAGAGACATACACAGACTGAAAGTGAGGGAATGGAAAAAGGTATTCCATGCAAATGGAAATCAACTGAAAGCCAGAGTAGCAATACTTATATCAGACAAAAGAGACTTTAAGATAAAGACTGCTACAAGAGACAAAGGACACTACATCATGATCAAGGGATCAATCCAAGAAGAAGATACAACAATTGTAAATACATATGCATCCAAGAGAGGAGCACCCAAATATATAAGGCAAATATTAATGGACATAAAGGAGAAACTGACAGTAACACAAGAATAGTAGGGGACATTAATACTCCACTTACATCAAGGAAAGATCATGCAGACAGAAAATCAGTAAGGAAGCACAGTCCTTAAATGACACATTAGACCAAATGAACTTAACTGATATATAGACAGCATTCCATCCAAAAGCAACAGAATACACACTCTTTCCAAGTGCACATGGAACATTCTCCAGGATAGATCACATGCTGGGCAACAAAACAAGCCTTGTTAAAATTGAAGAAAATTGAAATCTTACCAAGCATCTTTTCCAATCACAACACTATGAGACTAGAAATCAACTACAAGAAAAAAAACTGCAAAAAAAACACAGACACATGGAGGCTAAACAATATGCCACTAAACAAGCAATGCATCAAAGAAATCAAAAAGGAAATTAAAAAATACCAAGAGAGGGGGCTTCCATGGTGACACACTGGTTAAGAATCCGCCTGCCAATGCAGGGGACATGGGTTTGAGCCCTGGTCCGGGAAGATCCCACATGCTGTGGAGCAACTAAACCCCTGCGCCACAACTACTGAGGCTGTGCTCTAGAGCCCATGAGCCACAACAAGAGAAGCCACCGCGATGAGAAGCCCATGCACTGCAACAAAGAGTAGCCCCCACTCACCACAACTAGAGAAAGCCCGCGCACAGCAATGAAGACCCAACACAGTCAAAAATAAAATATATAAAATAAATAAATTTTTAAAAAATACCAACAAATGAAAATGAAAACGCAACAATTCAAAACCTATGGGACGCAGCAAAAGCAGTCTAAGAGGGAAGTTTATAGCGATACAATAAAAGAAATAAAAGAAATGCAAATTGGAAAGGAAGAAGTAAAACTGTCACTCTTTGCAGATGACATGATACGACACATAGAAAATCCTAAAGATGCCACCAGAAATCTACTAGAGCTCACCAATGAATTCAGTAAAGCTGCAGGATAAAAAATTAATACATAGAAATATTTTGCATTTCTATATACTAACAACAAACTAAAAGAAATAGAAATTAAGGAAACAATCCCATTTACCACTGCATCCAAAGGAATAAAATACCTAGGAATAAACCTACCTAAGGAGGCAAAAGACCTGTATACAGAAAACTATAAGGTGCTAATGAAAGAAATCAAAGCTGACACAAACAGATGGAAAGATATACCATGTTCTTGGATTGGAAGAATCAATATTGTCAAAATGATTATTCTACCCAAGGCAATCTATAGATTCAAGGCATCCCCTATCAAATTACCATTGGCATTTCTCACAGAACTAGAACAAAAAATCTTAAAATTTGTATGGTGACACAAAAGACACCAAATAGCCAAAGCAATCTTGAGAAAGAAAAACAGAGCTGGAGGAAATCAGGCTCCCTGACTTCAGACTATACTACAAAGCTGCAGTCATCAAAACAGTATGGTACTGGCACTAAAACAAACATACAGGTCAATGGAACAGGATAGAAAGCCCAGAAATAAACCCATGCACCTATGGTCAATTAATCAACAACAAAGGAGGCAAGACTATCCAATGGGAGAAAGACAGTCTCTTCAATAAATGGTGTTGGGAAAACTGGACAGCTACATGTTAAAAAAAGTGAAATTAGAATATTCTTTAACACCATACATAAAAATAAACTCAAAATGGATTAAAGACCTAAATGTAAGACTGGATACTATAAAACACCTAGAGGAAAACATAAGCAGAACACTCTTTGACATAAATCGCAGCAATATTTTTTTGGATCTATCTCCTAGAATAATGGAAATCAAAGCAAAAAAAAAAACAAATGGGACCTACTTAAAAGCTTTGGCACAGCAAAGGAAACTATCAACAAAATGAAAAGACAACCTACTAAATGGGAGAAAGTATTTGCAAATTATATGATCAATAAGGGATTAATATCCAGCATATATAAATGGCTCATACAACTCAACATCAAAAAAAACAAACAACCTGATTAAGAAATGGGCAGAAGACCTAAACAGACATTTTTTGAAAGAGGAAATGCAGATGGCCAACAGACACATGAAAAGATGCTCAACACTGCTAATCACCAGGGAAATGCAAATCAAAACCACAATGAGATATCACTTCACACCTGTCAGAATGGCTATCATCAAAAAGAAAACAAATAACAAATGTTGGCAAGGATGTGGAGAAAAGAGAACGCTCATATGCTGTTGGTGGGTATGTAAACTAGTGCAGCCACTGTGAAAACAGCATGAAGGTTTCTCAAAAAACTAAAAATAGAACCATCATATGACCCAGCAATTCCACTCCTGG